TAAAAAGTAGAAACCATCTCTTAAGAACTGTGTTTATTGATTTTAAATCGGTTAGTTTTTTTACTTAATAATAATTAAATATGAAATTTAAGTATCTTAGGCTTTACTTAATGTTAATAAGGTAATGCGTAAAAAAAAAAAAAAAAAAAAAAAAAAAAAAAAAAAAATATTTTATATCTGGCAGTGGCAAGATATTGCTTTCAAGTAGCTGAGTTTTTTTATACAATTTGAAAGATAAACTTCGTACATTTTGCCGAATGGCAACACTCTGACTCGTTCGAGATAAAAATGTTTTGTTTGGAACAGTGTTACCACTTCTCGATTTCAAATCGGTCAGTTTGTTCTCGATTTCAAATCGGTCAGTTCAAAAATTCACTAAATGTGTTTAAATATGGGTACTATTCCGTTTCGCCGGCGCAAATCTCGCCAAGCAGACTCTGTTGGCGACTACATACAGTATGCACATAGAAAATGTTAGCAAATGTTAGTTCTAAGAATTTTTTATTTTGAAGGCATAAACATTTTAATATCGTTTAAAATTTTGTAAGACGCTAATAAATAAAGACAATAAATTTGTAAAAGGATGTTAATTTAAGAACTTACTATGCTGCCATGGTTCAACATCCTGATTCGCCGGTTTATCACGTGACCCCAAGTGATCTCATCTCACGTAAACTACGCTACAAAAATCTAATTCTCTCAGTAATTATCTACTTTAATTTGAAGTTAAATCTTAATTTAGAATACAACTTTAAATGCAAACATTATTTCAGTTCGTACGAATAGCTTACTCAGAAATTATGTAAAACCGCAATCCTTTACTTCGCTAGTGCATTCTCATTAGAATTGATGCATTTAATCCTTAACTTTGCCTTTTCTACATTTTCGCCTTCGGGTGAGCGGTTTGATTGCATCCTAATTGACTTATTTACCGCGAATGGCCTTAGGACATAAAACTGAACTATCTGGTAAAAATTCTATGTAATTGTATGCGAGTATTGAAAGAAACGATGAATCTGATAAGAAACGGCTTCTACTTGTTTTGAAAATGAGGCGTAAAAAGGGTTACCAGCGAGGATATTCCGTTTGGCACCAGTTGTACCATTATTGGCGACTTTATCGCCTGCGCCGGCAAAACGGAAAAGTACCAAAATGTGAAATCAAAAACAGATTCAAATCAAAAACAGAAAACAAATCAAAAACAGAAAATAAATCAAAAACAGATTCAAATCAAAAACAAAAAATAAATCAAAAACAAATTCAAATCAAAAACAGAAAATAAATCAAAAACAAATTCAAATCAAAAGCAGAAAATAAATCAAAGACAGATTCAAAATTTGGGCTTCAAGATGCACATGATCAGGTGGAGGACAACGTAAGTGAAAAATAGGTCGCTCTAGATGCCATCGTTTTTCACATTTGGAGGTACACACATACAGATTATTCTTTTTTTATTTATTTTTAGATAATACATGGCGATAGCATTTGATGGCAACAGTTTGGAAAGTGAGTTGAAAGTTATATAGAAAAAAAGTGAGATTCGAGACTAAAAAACCTAATAGTTTTTATATAACAACTTAGCAGAAGAACCCGATGGCAGTCAAGTTAGATTGAGTGTAATGCGTCTAACAACAAAGGGAACGATGCCGCTGTAATCCTTCTCTAATAACGATGCAAAAGATTAAAGTTACTGTATTGAAAATTCCGAAAATTTATAGTCATACATTTTTCAGTCTGATGCGGTATAGAACATACATAAAATTATTCCCTTTAATATGTTGGATAATAGCTCAATTTTTCGTTTTAAAAGCTCAAATTTACAACTTAATCTCTCATTCAAAAAGATTGTTCCTTCTATTTTAACTCCTTTCCTTCATTTCTCTCTGAATTTAATAAATATAATTTTTAATGCATTATGTTACTAATATTTATTACAATACCTCGAACTTGAAAGGATTTATTTTTATTAGATTCAAATTACTGGAAGCATTTGCTAAAATTGCTGTCATTTCATTCACTTTACGAAAAAGAGAGTTTTCCAGTGGAAATTATGTTGAGCTCTTTAGAAAAAGAACAAATATAGTTTAAATAATAGGAACTAATAGCTCTAAATGCGTAAATACTATGAAATGCTTTGCTTCGGACACATAAGTTTGTATACGCACTCTGGCAGTAAATATTTTTCATAATACAAATTAAATTTTTTTTTATACACCCTTCTGTTAAATTGTTGCTCTTTCGGAATAAATGTAACTTAAGGGTAGTTTAAATTTTTCTTATTTTACCTTGTTTTCATTCCGTTACGATTTACCATTTTGAATCAAGTAGGTAACATACAGAATGAAATATTTAGTTATAAGACATGCAGTTTCATAGGCTTTGTACCACTTTTGTTTTTCTAGCCCAGAAGGGCTATTAGTCTGGAAACGTCATTTTGCGACGAACCACCAAAAGCGTCGAATCACTTTTCAGATTGTTGCCACCAAGTATTATCGCCGTATATTATATCTAAAGAAATTAAATAATGAAGAATTTGTATAGCTATATGTATGTTTCTCGCATTGCGAAAAAAAACTGCCGTACCTAGAGCCATCGAATTATGAATAACGTAGTCCTCCACCCGAATATGGGCACCCGGAAGCTCGAATTTCGAATTAATTTTATTATCTAGTACTAGTTCATATTTTGTAAAACTTTAAAGAACTTTTGATTGAAAAACTCTACAATTTCAAAGCGAGCAGTGGCAACACTGTACGGAATAAAACATTTTTTCCAGCACGTAGAACGCTATCAAAAATTCAAAGGAATGCTGCTTTTAAATATTTTTAGTTCAAAAGGGCATTAGCCTATAAGGTATTTCTCCCACTTCCCTAGCGTACCTTCGTGGTGTAACGGTAGCACGCTGGGTCGGTATTCCAGAGGTCCGTGGTTCGAATCCCGGCGAAGGCGGTTGCATATTTTTCATCTTTTCTGCTTCCAATTAACCTAATGACTCTGCAAGTGGCGCCCGAACTAAAAGGGTTGTGGATGATGATTCTCCGCACCCAGGATTTGGCGACTAGGTTCCCTAAAACCCTAGTCGCCCTTTAAAAAGGGGAGTATATAAGGTATTTCTCCCACTCCCTAGCGTGCCTTCGTGGTGTAACGGTAGCACGCTGGGCCGGTATTTCAGAGGTCCGTGGTTCGATTCCCGACGAAGGCGGTTGCATATTTTTCATCTTTTCTGCTTCCAATTAACCTAATGACTCTACAAGCCCAAATACTCTTGAAACGTGTATGTGTGTGTAAATGGGGGGGGACCCTTTGGGCGTAACATAAAAAATAAAAGAGCTTTCAGATTTTTTAATTTTTTAAATTGTGTTTATTTAACTATTTATTTTTTGCTTGATTTAATAATTAGTCTGGAATTTGTTTCTTGATATTTAATTTTTATTAAATATCAATATTTATATATTTGTTTCTTGTTCTATTATATTTAATTTTTATTATGTAATTATCAAAATTCTAAAATTTTATTGTATTTTGCATAACAACACAGTTGGTAGATGATTCCATCAGTTGAGCGTAAAAGCTGAATGTCTTGAAGGCGGTGCAGCTGCTCATCTGATGGTAAATAAATAAATAAATTGGTTTGGAATAATTTATGCTAATCTTAATAAAGGGGTACTAAACCATCTTATCGCAATTTGCCGATTTTTTAAGAAAAAAAAGTAATGGTCCTTAGACTGCAAAATAAATAAATAAATAATTAAAATAGTTATTACATATGTATTTTCTACTAGAGTTAGATAGTTACAGCAAAAATCAATAAAAAGACTTGCTCAGAACGATTTTGATTTCTTTATAGTAGAAATTTCATGGCGATTCTTTCGAGAGAACAGATTTAAAGCAATTGTTTTCTTTAGAGATTTTTTAGATCAAAATAGTGCATTCCCGCAGAAATTTTAAAGCAATTATTCCCAACACAGGCAAATCTACAAGCGCGTGTTTAAAAATAAAGCTTAATATCACGACTTGTCTATTGATTTTGTTGAAATTGTGAATTCAACAAGTAAATGCATAGGAAAATGGCAATGCTGCTGAAGAACTGTGCATGGTGGCCAGGAAAAACTGCTATGTGCCTGGTTTCTAGAGTTTTGGAAAATTCCGAAAATTTGGCTAAGGTAGTGGTCCAACTAAGATGGTGTTTGCTAATACGTAAGGAGTAAAATAAAGGGTTTAAATATTGACTCAAGACTCAGAACATAGTTGCAAGGAAAAATGCTTAATTCCTTTTTTTCAGTCCAAAGGAGCAATTTGCTCAGAAGGACTTATAGTTTCATTTTGACATTTTGCGTTGATTCACTACAAGCGTTGTTTTACTTTTCAAATTGTTGCCACCAAATATTATCGCCCTGTATTATATTTAAAGAAATTAAATAATGAAGAATCTGCATAAATGTATATATGTTTCTCATATTACGATAAAACAACGGTACCTAGAGCCGTCAAATGTTTAATAGCATAATTCCTCCCTCGAATATGGGCTTCTAGAAGCCCAAATTTGGAATTTGTTTTATTATTGATTTCATATTTTGTAAAACGAATTTTTGATTAACAAACTCAAGGATTTGAAAGTGAGCGATGGCTACGTTGCACAGAAAAAACATTTTGTCTCCAGCGCGCAAGACTGTGTATCGGAAATTCTAAAGATATGCTCAATTTAAAATTATTTTGCGATATTGCTCTTAGACTGAATTTTATGGTTTAAGTGCGAAAAACATGTAAGGACTTAATAAGTAAAGGCGACACATAATTTGTTTTAAAAAACGCCCCTTTGGACGTAATTTAAAATCTGAAACCTTTCAGATTTTTATTTATTTATTTATTTATTTTGTAGTTGCTTTAATGTATTTGACATGACGCTGATATTGAGAATTTTAACTTTAATTTTATTTTTGTAACATCACTTCAAATGATGCTGAGTTGCAAATGTTTATTAATAAATATTTTCTTTTCAGTTGTTACCAATCTTTTCCGCTCCCCAGGTAAGTAATTTTATGTATTTATTATGCTATGGCAGTTGAATAAGATACTGAACATTTATTTTTCTGAATTAGGAATCAATAATGCATGTCTGTTAAGCATTCATAAAAATTAAAAATTATGTGCATTCTCATTAAAATTATTAACAAATTTTTGTATAAATGAGCCTTTTCGAAATTTCAACTTGTAATTCACGGCAATTAACATATTTATATATATATATCACTTTTTCAACCAAATAAGTGCTTATATGAATGGAAAATTACACATTTTCATGTATTTTCTATTTTTGCTTATATGCTTTATTGATTTTTAAAGGCAGATATATTGCTAAATGAATGGAAAATTACACATTTTCATGTATTTCCGGTTTTTTTTATATGTTTTGTTGATATTTAAAGGCAAATATACACACATACACACTTAATATAGTATACATGTGTGTGTATGTGTGTGTAAGATATAGCAAAATACGATGGCTGCTTTGAAAAATGTTTGGCGACCTCAGAATTAACATTCTAAATTTGGTGATCTGCCCCTAAATTCATCTCTTCTCTCAGATTCCAGATTTTTCTATTTTACATAAAGTGCTAATGCAGATACCTCTTGTCCAATCAAAATAAATTGTAAACCAAAACTAACTCGAACTGAAACACGACTTCCTCCCTTCTTCCTCTGAAGTATTGCGACACACTCTTTCTTCTGGCTTGCGCTTTCATCCTGTTAAGACGTTTTGCTGCAATCATCTATGTGCTGCTATGATAGCATCTGCCGCTATAGTATCAAAATTGTGTATATTCTAGAAGTTTTCTTTCATATTTTTTTATCTTGTGCATACCTTTTGAATATTCTAGAAGTTTTCTTTCATATTTTTTTATCTTGCGCACACCTTTTGAATATTCATAGCAGCACATAGAGGATTGCAGCCAAACGTCTTAACAGGATGAAAGAGTAAGCCAAAAGAAAGAGTGTATCGCAATACTTCAGAGGAAGAAGGCAGGAAGCCATGTTTCAGTTCGAGTTAGTTTTGGTTTACAATTATTTTGATTGGACAAGAGGTATCTGCATTAACACTTTATGTAACATAGAAAAATCTGGAATCTGGGAGAAGACATAAATTTAGGGTCAGATCACCAAATTTAGAATGTTAATTCCGAGGTCACCAATTATTTTTCAAAGCAGCCATCATATTTTGTTATATCTTACATATATCTATCAAGTTAAAATTGAAACTAAACAGGCAAAAGAAAAACAAGTAAGAAAATGAACAACATATGTTATTAATTGAGTAGATTAATGGTATGGCAAAGTATAAAGAGTTGACTGAAGGTTTTAAAACATTAATACTAAAAACTGAGTTAAAATAATACTTGCCAGGAAAAGTCCTTATTACGTATATTTTTTCCAACTATATTGTGCATGTATGCTTATATATATATATGTTTATATGGGCGCAATCTATTGCGCCCATATAAACTATACTGGCAAGAGGCGTTCTCCAGGCAGACGCCAGACCCTGCCATCCGAACGGTAGAAGGTGAACCGTGATTCGTTGCTCCAGAGAACTCGTTTCCATTGATCAGTGGTCCATTGTCTGCATGCTTTGCACCACGTTAACCAAGCAGCATGGTTGGACTTTGTGATCAAAGGCTTAACGCAGCAGCATGACCATGAAAAATAACAAGATGGGATTTCTTACGGATAGTATTCATTGAAACAATACTCCCGGTTACCTGTTTAAACTCCTGGAGTGTGAGCTATCGGTTCTTCCGAATTTCTCTGGAAAGCACCCGTCGTTCCCTATCTCGCCGTTTCGTGGGTCTGCCGAATCGAAGCACATTTCGATAATCACCGCTCACCTTCTAATTCTGAATCTAATAGGCCACTGTCAAAATTGGGTAATTCAGCTCACGAAATATGCCTAAAGGATTGGCCATTTTTGTGATACCCAAGGATTACACCTTTCTCCAAATGAGATTCATCTGCTCTTCGTGGGATCTTACATGCTGCTAATTCTAATGCAGTTTCCTACACGATATTTAATTAGGGTGACGTATATCAAAACCCCAGATATCCGCATTTACATATGTGTCCAAATACTTCATTAGTAGATAGTGTATATATGTATATTACTCATGCACTCCTCCTCACACACATTTGTGAAACTACAGACTAAAGCAAAAGTTTCTAGATCAGAAAATAATTATTAAAATTAATAAAGCAGAAAAGAACAGTTATTCTAGACCATTTTGATCATCATAAGCATTTACCAGTTCTCAAAAGTAACATACATATAAAAATATTTAGGAATTTGAATAAAAAGAGAATAGATTAATTTGTTTTCCTCATTTTCGGTGTCTTCAGACTGACCAAATCCAGGCACTCATCAGTGCAGAATTAAAGTTAAAATGAATTTGTAACGTTTGGAAACTTATTGTGCAGTACTCATTCACTGAGAACGGAAATCAATTGGCTGCAGATGCTTGTATATGCAAATGCTGCAGATGCTTGTGTATGCAAATATTGTATGTGGTTTGAGGAGGTTCATTTAAATGTTGATGCTAAATATTTATAGCTTTTATAAGATAATTTTTGATGATATTGTTATGAAATGTACAGGCGCGGTGAGGTATTTTCTTTGCAAAGCAATTTTAGGGTTGCCATAAAATAGCAAGGTAGTGCAGAATTGCCCCATTTGGCAAAAAATCGCCCATTTGGCGGCGGAATTGGCGATATGCCATGGACGGATGGAGAACCTTC